CCAGCCCGCTCATACATCATCGTGACCCTCAACGATTTTACAGCTGACTCTTTCTGTCTTGGCAGTCCGGCTTGTTGGCCGACCATCCAACCGTCAGACCAACCAACAGGCAAACAAGCATATCGACAAGAAAGCCAGCAAGCAGAATTTTGCAAAGTGCCGATATGAAGCCTCTCGTGGTCGGCATGGACACATTGTGGGGTGTTGGATGATAGACGACTGCGAGCCTGGCACACGACAGTCTATGATTTATCGTCCAATTACCAGTCTCTTGGAGTGAATTAAGCCTCAATTAGAAGGGTCACTAGATCCAGCTGACCATGGCCAATGTCTACACTTTCCCTTTGTTGCTATCACCCGTGGGCCGGACCAACCGTGGCCCCTTTGACCGCAAAATGTCCGGCATTTCACCCACTCGCTCCATCTCCACACCCTCTCCCCATTCGTCAGTAGGGTTGACAGGCCTCACAGCCTACGACTGATCTGTCCCAGCGGCCAAGTTGTGATTATCCGGTGTGTATGAGCCTCCAAAGCGGCTTTGCAAAGGAGGATTTTGAAAATGTTTTCATGCATGTTTCGCACAATCTATCCGAAATACGACCATATTCACTACTTACTTACTACTAGAATCTTATAAATGTTTTTACAGCCCTTAACTGGTTACGCCTTGTTAGAGGGGCACCTCAATTGTTAAAAAAGCTAAACCCGAATCTTGACGACTTGTGTATAGTGAAGAACCCTATTTCAATCAATTTTCATACATTTGAGATGAAGGTCACCATGCCGCTGACCTCATTAACCAATCAGCCTTAGTAGAGTTGGCAGTCGTCATAGTTTCTCGACTGGGGGCATGGAAATAAGAGGGCAAAATCTCAGATCGACAATTGTCCAAATTGTAAATGTGTCACAACTCTGGAAAGTCTGCCACATCCGATGTCTACTTCAAATCTGTATATTTCATGTTGGAAAAGCCGTCATTTCATTTTAAGCGACGAGTGGAAGTTGGTCCCACCGGAAGCTCAAGGGGGATTGCTTTAGAGCTGTGATTGTAGATTTGTGTGAATAGGTCATCGGCGAACCACTCAGCGACTCCGATGAATCCTTGCTGAGCTTTCGTGCGTCATGTGATGGACATTGTCAGAGCAGGACACCATGCTTCACGATAAGTCACCAGAACACGAAGACACTTATGGTGCTCCCATGATGTATTCACACAAATCCACAGTCACAGTCCCAAAGAAATCCTTTTTCAGCCTCCAAAGACTATTTTACACTTGTCACTTGAAACGAAATAAAAGTTACGCTAACATCAATCTTGGAAACCCAATTTTTTGACAGACATCTGTATATTTCGTCTGAAGAGGGATTCCTATAATCATAGCTCCAACATGATCTTCTTCCGGTTTTCGGTGAAGCCAATTTACGAGACTCTTCCTTTTGTCTCTCCAAAAAGAGATAAAAGGTACGTTAAGGTCTACTTCAGACTGGTCTCTAAGTAAATATATCAAGACCAAGATGTTGTGGTCTCTGTTATGGTCACAGTCTCCTTTCGATTTATAGAAGTGGGTTGACCTCGTTGTCGCAACTTGGTCTTGTGCTCAGGGAGACTATGTATAATGCACCTAGTCCGAAATCGTCTGCCATAGTAGTTGTCATGATTCCCAGCATCAGACAGTGGACTTGATACATTCTCAAATGTTTCGCCGGCATCGTAGTCGGCATCATCAGTGAGCATTGCCATTCTTCGCACCAAGATACGAACTCGTCAAAGAGACAAGTGAAGTCAATCCTTCTACGGTGCGGAGAATGGCAAGACTCACTAATGATGCCGACGAAATGTTTTGGAATGTACCAAGTCCACTGTCTGATGCTGGGAATCACCAAACTACTATGGCATACGACTTCGGACTAGGTTAGGCGCCCTGACAACAAGACTAATTTGCGACAACGAGGTCAACCCACTTCTGGTCTCTAAGGTTGCTCTTTGGGGTAGACGTTCAAGGGTCTGTCAGGGTCCCAAACCGCCAACTCTCTTTTCCATGCGAACATAAGCCCAACTTATCAGGGCTTTCACCAACACCTGAGTTGGTAGGGTTTACAGAGCATTCACAAGCAGCGGTAGTGATACTGTTGATAGCAACAGTCAATAATGGTCTGTAATTGTGTTGTGAGGCTCTGTCACAGTTGAGCTTCGCCGGTTTTAAGCGCTACTTAGGCTCTTTTCCCAATCCTCATCCTTTGGCTGTCAGGTATACCAACAACTTGCCCGCCTAGGATGGAGCTGTCTGTTTGTCTGCTTCAGCCCATCCAGGACTCACAACCAGAATGTCAAGGCGGAGACAAGAGCCGTCTTCGTGGCCAGTTTCAACCTGCTAATGGGGCCAAACAGCCAGTAGAAATATATACCACCGACCAGTTGTACAAGTTCACCCGTCTCCAGGCCTCTCGGCCAGTTGACGAGTTTGGTGTTTGTCTGTCAAATGACCCAAATTGTCGGCACTACTACAGGCTGAAACGGTTGTATGAATGAGCAAAAGGTGTGGGACGCCTGCCGAATACCCTCAGTGTATCTGGCGCGGCAAGTTTGTCATATCAGTAGCCCGGTCAGTTGTCTGTCTTTCACAGTCCCCTGTGGAAAACAAAGGTCGGGAGCAGAGGAGGCAAAGAGGCGAGAGTGTGTTAAGTTTGCTGGCAAGCGTGAAAATAGACAATACACCAAGACTCCTTCACACTATGGGCTGCATAAACATATGCCGTGGTATGGAGGATGCCTTGTAAGTCAGCCTGACGTTTATTTGCCCCACTTGGTTTCATCAAAATCCGTATTACCCGGAACTAGATTCCTAATAAATTTCCCTCTCCGTTTTCACCTCTTTGCTGCCTTGCCTGTATGCACGTGTGTTTGTATGTGCTAGTGTGTATGCAAGCATGGGGGGATTGTGCAAGGTGCGTCTGTCTGCATTAACACCTGTATGTTGGTTAGGTGGGGGAGTACATGTGCCCTGGCCGTGCAAAGTCATTTGTTCCCCTCAAAAGACGGGCAAATTTAGGCGCTGGATGGGTCCCAACCGACTCTACCTGCCTGAATGTGGAAGTGTTCCCTAAATTGAGGCTCTTTAGCTTGCATTTTTTTCAACATGTTCTCACAACCAACTCCTAGCAGAACCGGCTTGCAAGGCACTAGAGGGCTCAGCGTTAAACATGGACATGTTTTTTCGATCACTGTCATGATTCCCACGATTCACTTCACTGACTTCGTATTGGCTGTATTGCCCACATTTCAGCCAACCGGCAGCGTTTCAACTCCCAAGCTTAGTGAGCATTGAAAACAAAAAAGCCGCAAACACACAGACGGCTCCATGACTCTCCTTCGGTCCAACAAAGTGTGTGAAAAGTACACCCCGGCTTTATGGAATGGAATGTATGAATGTATATTTTGTCCTTCCATATCTCATCAAGACAAAGAAGGAGACTATCAGAAAAATCATGTCGGACGCCATGCGATTCGAGCTAAAATCAATCCAATCTAATTGTGAGTTGGTTACATGAATGCAAGAGAAAGTGATCATCTACTCTCCACTTCATGTTGTCATTCGCTTGCATGTAAGCGACTTCCCTTCACGTTTTTCAGTCTTCCTTTTAGTGTGGAGTAAGCCTTATTTAGGGGCAAACCGAGCCTAGACGATTCCGCAAAACAAAGGAACACAAAAGTAGTGAGATACTATACATCCATAAAATACGATAAATTGTTGACCAAAAGATACAGTCATTTGTTGTCGGGATTCGAACACTTGCCCTTTTGAGCTGAGTGATTGGGGCTTATGATGGAGAAGATTACGTTACAGAGATCTTGAAGGTTTAGAAGAAAAAAATTATTTTTCATTTTTTACCACTTTACGAATGCTGAGCGCAAAGGACGAAGAAGCAACGATGCTATAAAAGAATGCGATCAGGTTTAAGCATGCACCAAGGAATCCTGTGA